AAGAGCAATTTGCTTGGAGACACTTCTATTGGTACTTAACAAATGAAGGTATTGAATATTTGCGAGGATACCTACATTTGCCTCCGGAAATAGTACCCTCTACACTTAAAAGGCAAACAAGATCAGAAAGTACACGGCCAAGACCAACAACGGGTGCACGGAGTGAGTCTAAACCGACAGAAGATCGTTCTGGATATAGACGAGGCCCTGGAGGTCCAGCAGGGCCTGGCGATAAAAAAGCTGATGTTGGTGCTGGAACTGGAGATGTAGAATTCCGTGGTGGTTTTGGTCGTGGTAAACCACAATAATTTTTTAATGTAAGATAAATAAATATTTCTTAATATACAAGCATTGTTGTTTCAATTATGTTTATCTTTTTAAATAAGGTATATATAAATAAGATTAATAAAAATCAAGACTTATCATAATAACTTTTTAATTTATTTTTTGTCGTATCATAAAATTGTACATTTACTTACAAATTGTATAATATTTGTTATTAACATGTAAATTTATAATTGGAAGCAAATGGTAGGCAATTATAGAATTACAAAATATTGAAATTATAAGTTTGGCAAATAAATATATTATTTCTAATATGTGACAAAACCATAGTTTAGAGCGGAACATTACAGATATATATCTGTGCTAAAGTAAGATTCTCATTACAAATTTTTTGTTATAATTTTATTGGAGATAGAATTTTTTTTTATGTGCAGTACAATGTTGCTTTTCCTTTTAATTTTCTGATCTTTTGTGAAATTTGTCAAATTCTTTTTAATTATTATATCAGGATTTTCTACTTTTTCCATGTTTATACTAAAATACCTATATTTATAACATAGCACATTGTGTATTTCCATGTGCATTTTTCATGTTTACTATACTTCAAAAAATAAATACATAGAAACTAGTTGTCATTAGTAAATTTTACATAAAATTTACTTTAGATATATACTGAAATGAAGTAACTTAAACTTTATGGTTTAGCGCAATATATAATTTTATCGCTTGTCATATTTGATCAATGAATGTTATCAAGTTATTTTATATTTATATGTATTTCATATTATGTAATTTATTAATTTGATAATCATCAATTATACTGCCAAATTATTTATTAATATAAACAATAACTAATCTCAATTTGAATGTAACATATTTCAAAGTTTTTAATATTTGACATTAAAATTTGCTAATTGTAAATTTCAGTTAAAGAACAATTTTATAAGTTTATTTAATTAAAGAGACTTCAGAAACATTAATTTTTTAGATATATAATTTTGCAAGAAAACATTTGAAATAGATAAGAATAATGTTATGCTCAAGTAGTAGGATTAAACTAAATGGAATTAATCTTAATCATATATATACAAAATATTTTAAGTCTGTAATATTGAACTGTCATAATTTTACACTTGGAAGTTTTTTAATTTCATGCAAATCTTTTGTGATCTAGCAAATTGAAATTTTTATGATTTGTATGTATAAATACATGTTCTTATAAGCATAATCGCGTATATACGTACATATAAATATGTGTATATATATATGTGTGTATATATGTATATATATACATATATATACATATATATACATATATGTCATATGTAACACCTATAAAAACTACGATTAAAACCATAAAATCATATTTGCGTATAAGATTCATACATATGTAATACATATGAATTCTCTGAATAGGTTATGTTATCAATGAATTAGACATATTTTTTTAAAAGAAATAAAAATGGAGGAAATTTTTTAATCTAGAATGAACGTCCTAATAATCTTAACTATTGTCACATCTCACTGTATCACAATTTGTACTCCAAAAGAGACAATTACCAATGCCACTATAACAAATTAAGAAAACAGCAAGAAAGAATACTGAACTACAAATAGTGCATGGTTTTCGTTCTAGGAAGAATCCAATTAGATAAAGTGCTATAAACATGACATGCGTTTGCACTAGTGTTGGATTTACTGGCTTTGGTATCAGCAGCACTGGAATTAACCACTGTAGGCAATACATCTTCTTTACTTTGTTGTTAGAGATGTATTTAAACTAGTTTCATTTATGGCAAAATCTCTGAAAAGGAGTATATAAATTACTTTCTCTCAGTTTATTCGTAAATTCACTTTTTACATGCGCTACGATTTTTTCATACCTTATTTGGAAGCACCATAATGTTCTCGAAACATTTCGTCTTTCAAAATTGAAACAATTTAATTACATATACCCATGCTAGTACAAAATATTTCTACTCTGAATTTTTCCAAATACATATGAGATTACACACATCTATAAATCAGATAGGAACATACAGCTTACATTAACAGCAGTTTAGTCTGTCTCATGAAAACAACCTTTAGATTATCTTTCAAAGTAAAAAAAATTATTTAGCAAATTATTTTATCATTGTTTGACGTAATCTTTATTAATAATGACTATATGTAATATTTATTGTGTCATTTAATTTAACTTTTTCCACTGATATACTAGAAATAAAATTGAGATGTCAAGTTTGCTTCATAGTATTAATTGAAAAATTTCTATTCTATTTAACACGGGAATACCAAATAGCACTAAAATTTCTAAGTACAGAAAGCATAATATAAAAGAAAGTAGATTCTGATATTCGTAATTGTAATTAATCTATAATTAGTAGATATTATGTCCTATATTATAATAATAAAATATTTTGAGTAACATATTATATTATATGAATGTCTAATATGTACTGTAATAATCCAAACAAAAGTGCAAAACCAATTTTAAAACGTCAACAACAAACATGTGTCAAATTTAAGGAAAGTTTAGAAAATATGAATGTTTTATCAAAAAAATCAGAACGGACTGTTATTAGGAGCACTACAAAAATTCTTAATTTATTTAAAAAGCCTGTTACAAGTCATAAGGGAGAGAGACAAGAAAACAATGTTTTAACTGAAGAAAAAGAAAATAATGCAGTTATTATTAAGGAAAATTTATCCACTAATAATAATACAGTGTACATTTAATTATATAAATGTTTAATTTACTGATTGCATTTAATTAATAATTTAAATTAATTATTTTCTTTTCTAGTGTTTTTAATGTAGTAATAGGTAAGAAATCTATGAGAAAACATAAAAAATGGGAAGATGATGGAACATTGGAAGTTACAGGAAAACATGCAGTTCTAAAGGTGATTTATTCATAAAACTATATATGTACAAAAGTTTTTTTTAAAGTTATGAATAAGTTATATTTTTAAATTGAACAGAGTACCGAAGGTAATATTATGCATAAAACCATAGTAAATCCAGAAGTTTTGATAGAAGGCTTTAGAATGTATGTAGATAATAAAGAAATTGAGGTAAAAATGAGTCAATATATCTTAATATATTTTAATAATTTATCTGTATAAATTATCATACAAAATTGAAATATTAAAATATTTATAGATAATTGACAGAGTAACATCTAAATGCATGCCAAATAAATGTATTCCAGAAGTAGTTTCAGAACCACCCACAAAAAAGTTGAAAACTTCAGGTTCTAATCCATATCTTTCTTTAGGATCTTTACACAAAGGTATAATATATTAAACCAAATAAAAGATGTATTTTGAAACTAAATTTTATAATATATAAAATATATTAATTTTCATATATTACTAAAGATATGAAATTAAGATGCTGTCCATTGATAATGCCATCTATAAATACTTCAAAAAGTTGGGGAGTGAATGATGTATCAAAAAATGAAAAAGAAATATCTGTAGATACTTGTTTAATAAATGTACTCAGACAACACCAACGTCATGGTATTGTATTTCTATATGAATGTATTATGGGCTTAAAAGTACCTAACTATTTTGGAGCAATTTTGGCTGATGAAATGGGACTTGGTAAAACATTACAATGTATTACAATTATTTGGACGTTGTTAAAGAAAGGGCCGTATGGACATCCAATACTGAAATATATATTAATAGTAACTCCTAGTAGTTTATGTAATAACTGGAATAAAGAGTTCAAACATTGGTTGGGGTTTCATAGAATATCTCCATATGTTGTAAATGCTAAAAATAAGCCAAAAGATTTCAGAAAACATATAAGAAACTCAGTTCTAATTATTAGTTATGATATGCTTATCAAATACAAACAAGAAATTGAACAAATACCTTTTGATTTAATCATATGTGATGAAGGTCATAGATTAAAAAATAGTGATATAAAAACAGCAAAGGTATAAAATTTTTTTAATTTTAATTTAAAAACCAATATATGGTTTTAATATATTATATTTTTTCAGATTTTATATAACTTGAATTGTAAAAAAAGAATTCTTTTGACTGGAACTCCAATACAAAATGACTTGCAAGAATTTTTTGCTTTGATTGATTTTATAAATCCTGCTGTATTGGGAAATAACATTGACTTTAAAAATTATTATGAAAAACCTATTGTTGCATCACAATGTCCTAATGCATCAGACGACGTTGTATCTCTTGGAACTAAAAGAGCTAATGAGTTATATGAAAAGACTAAATGTTTCATATTACGACGTACACAAGAAACTATTAATAAGTACTTACCTTCTAAACATGAATTCATTATATTTTGCCGCTTGTCGAATGAACAAGAAGATTTATATTCTCGAGTTACAGACTCGTGGTTTAATAAAATTGTACTACCAAATAATAGCATACCACATTTAACAGTAATAACAGCTCTAAAAAAAATTTGTAATCATCCAGAATTATTTAATAATGAAAAAGCTAAGTTTTTGAATATTGATACAAAAGCTACAAATAAAATTCCTAATATAAAAGATGTTACAAAAAAAACATACCATGGAAAAATTTCAATTGTACAAACATTACTAAGAAATTTAAAAAAAACGGATGAGAAATTAGTATTAATTTCATATTATACACAAACACTCGATCTATTAGAAACTGTTTGTAATACAGAAGGCTTACAATTTCTTAGATTAGATGGTACTACAACAAGTAATACAAGATCTAAAATTATAGAACGATTCAATTCAACCACTGACAATAGTAGTTAGTATAGTCGATACTATTTCTAATTTAATTTAATTTAATTTAATACCCAATTTACACATAGGCTAAGTAAAAGTAATCAACCAACAATTTTCTGATTGTTTACGTATCTATTGTAGAAATATTTTTATTAAGTGCAAAAGCTGGTGGAGTTGGATTAAATTTACCTGGTGCATCTCGACTTATATTATTTGATTCAGACTGGAATCCAGCATCTGATTCACAAGCTATGGCAAGAATTTGGAGGGATGGTCAAAAAAAAGATGTTTATATATTACGGTTTGAATATTTCAAATTATAAATAAATCTCAACATATCACAAAAATTCTTGTAGTAATATAAATAAAATTTATAGATTACTAACTACTGGAACTATTGAAGAGAAGATCTTTCAAAGACAAATTAGTAAAGCGAGTTTAAGTGAAACTGTAGTAGACTTAAATTCATTCTCTTCGCTTAAATTGTCTACAGATGAATTAAAGGTTTGTTTTATACATGTATTTTAAACAATGTATATTTTAAAACAATGTGACAAAAATAATATCTATAATATCTACAGGATTTATTTACATTGGCAACAAATACAAATTGTTTAACACATGATTTAATGAAATGTTCTTGCAATGGTTATAAGAAATCAGAAGAAAAATCAGAAGAATCATGTCAAAAAGATAACAGAGAATATCAATTTCTAGGAGATAAAGTGACAAAATCAAATTTAACTATAAACCAGCTTTTAAAATGGGAACATTACCAACAACCAATTTCGGATGAAATAATTCAAGTAGGAATAATTTAATATTGAATACTAAAATACTAGACTACATTATTACACTAACAATTATTTTCAAATGTTTTGTAGGAAACCATGTTATCAGAAGCATCTAATGATATAACGTTTATATTAAAAAATTCTATAGTAAATAAGAGATTCAATTAATAAAAAAAAATATTTATTCCATAAAAATAAAGTATATAATTATAAAAGACATAATTAAATTTTTATAATTTGTTTTTATGTAATATAATACTCATTCGTTCCAAGAAGTCAGGAGATTGTAAACGTTTTACGAGTTCAATTGTTTCTTCTGCATTTACTTTCAATAAAATGTTCTGATTCCATCTTCGAACTAAACATTTAATTGCCAATATAGACTGAAAATAGCATTTATTTGATGTAATTATATTAAAAAATGATAATTGCAACTTATGTAGATAATATTATTATAAGTATACTTCTGATGAAAGTTCTGTCAATTTTTGTAAATATGTCCAAACTTTGTTTAAATTTTCATATTCATATATTTCATTAATAAAGCCATAATGTTTAGCTTCAAGTGCAGTCATCTTATGTCCTAAATACAACATGTCACTAGCCTAAACATTATTTGAGTATTATAAATTTATTGCAAATATAACATAATTTTAAATTAGATTACCTTACATTTCCCAAATATATTAGAAAATGTATATGTAGAACATCCTTCTGCAACAAGTCCTAATTTTGTAAATGGTGTATGAAAGTAAGTCTGCAATGTAACAAACATCTATATATTAATTTTAATTTAGTAAAAGTAAGAACTAGATAACATATAATATGAAATTACGGTATCCGATGCATATATCAGGTCAAATAATGCAAGCATTGTTACTGCAATTCCAATTGCAGGACCATTTACAACAGCTACTAAAAGCTTAGGATATGTAATTAATGTATCTATAAATTCTCTGAAAAATTATTTTAAATTATTATTAAAATTTTTAAGATTTAAAATTATTTAAAGATATTACTTACTTAAAGATATTAATTGTACTTTCAATATTGAAAGCACTGTTATTTTTATTTGTTAATAGATATTTAAAATCATTTCCACTACTAAAAAAGCTTCCTGTACCAGTTAAAATTATTACATAAATTGTACTATCTTGAATAGAATTGTGTAAAATTTGTATTAAATCTTTGTACATCTATAAAAATGTGTAAATCATGTAAAATTTATATAAAATATTTATACGTATAAAGGTTTAATATTATTATTTGATGTTAATTATATACAAAGAGTTTCCGACCTGACAACCAAATGGGATGATTCTATATAAAAAAATTAATCGAAAAAAAAAATAAAATCTTTTCATTTCTGTTTTAGAAAAAATCGAGTTTGAATATTTTTCAAGTATACTTGAATTTGGCAAAACTAGATAAAAATTAATAATCGATGGAAGATTATTTTACCTACAAGATTAGAATTTTTCCATTTAACACATCTTGTCTTCAAGAAAATAGACTTTGTGCTTAGTTAAAAATTGGCTTAGTGTACTTGAAATTCAATTTTCTTAAAAATAAAGGGTGAAAAAATTATATTCTATATTTTATATTTTTACTTACTTTCACAGTAAAATAACTTTTTATTCGTTTTTAATCAGTACAAAATTTAAATATACTTGATAAATTTTTAAACTTTTCTCGAAAACGAAGCTTTAAATAAAGAAATTTTATTTTTTTTGTTCGACTTATTTTTTAATTAGAATTATCTTTTCTGGTTGCACCACCAGATCGGAAGTATTGATGTAATGACTGGAAAATTCTACTATAATTACTACTATAAAAACTATATTTGTATTTGTTCTTTTACTTAAAATTTAACACTTGCACTATTATATAATATTGTATTATATTATATATTCCAACTTTCAAATGAAATATTACTTACAGCAATAGTAATAGCATTTTTTTTTTTTGGTCGATTTAACACAATTTTTAACATTCCATTTTTTATCGAACACAAAATATCGGATGAATTTTCATTATCCATTTTATATCATAAACTATTTAGCCCTTAAATGCACACCGTTACAAATTTGCAATTAACTTTAACTTTGTACCTAAAAAATATTTGATATATATATATGTATAAGATAAAAAGATTTGATATATATATGTATTTCTACGAGAAGTAACTCATGACTCATGAATCATGAAACAAGTTTTTTATCTTTTATTTGCATATGCTTCTTACATCTTGCGCGCGCGCGCGTGTGTATAATTTATATATATATATTATATATAATATAAATGCAATGTAATGTAATGCAATGTAATGTAATGCAATGTAATATAAATTAGGACTTCGTACGTAAATAAAAATTAGTGATATAGTATCTAATATTTGCAAAATATTATATATTTTTAAAATATATTTCTTTTTCTTGTAAACACATGAAATCTTTATTTAAGTAAATAATGATAGTATTTTTTACAATAAATCAAATAATAATAATAATATAAATAAATTATGAAAATATAAAATATCCATAAAAAATAAATATTGGAATATTTTTTCAAAAATATTGGATATATTTTAAATTTCATAGAGAGCAGTAAATTACTTGATTTAATATTGTTAATAAAATATATTTTTTCACATAATTTATAAAAGTTTATTGTTCTCTAATAATAATATATACACTATAATTTTTAAACAAAAAGATCAAACCAAACACATGTGGTAGTAACATAAGAAAGTTCATTATGTATTTACAATGTTTATATTTTACGTTCATAAATAAATATCAAAGAAGAAAAGTAGTTGTTTAACAAGTCTGATTTGGTTTAATAATACAAGTAAATGTTACAAATGATCATCCTTATTTTTTATTACATAACTAGTATTGCTTATCAGTTAAATACTTGTTTTATAACTGATCATAATCGCAATTCTTTTTATTCTTAATAGTACCATTTGAGTAAACCTAAAATGTAAGATCTATAAAGACTTTTTCATTATACATATGTTTATGATGTTATATTTGACATACATATTTATTCACGACTAGCATTTGCAACATGCTGTCTACTAAAAATTATCAAGTTTATTAATTTCAAAATTATATTTTGTAATCACAGATTACTGTCCCTACATATTTCTACAAAAATTATTATTTCATAAATAGTAATGTTTGTACATTATATATAACTTATATAAAACATAAATTTTATAAATATTTTTAAATGCTTCTATAATTAAGACAAAAATTTTAATTAAACGATTTTCAGAGAGTATAATTAAACTAATGAAAACTATTACGTCCATAGAAGAGGAAGCTTTATTCGGAAATAAGTCATAAATTTTTTCTATCGAGAAGATAGAAAATGTTTCAATTATTTAGTATTATAAGTGCGCAGTGCAAATTAAAAAAAAAACAAGTTGGAATTCTATAAAAAAATGCATTTAAGATACATTTGTTATATCTTAACATTATCTCTTATATGTAAGTAAAGCATTTAGAATTAGATGTAAGAATCTCCTGATTATTAATTCGTAGTGTAAAATTAGAAATTGGAAATATTACAATGGTAACTTTGGTATCGTAAGACAGAAATAATTCATTCAAATATAATTTATATAAATAATTCATTGCTACTATTTTGCTTTCTTTTTTTAAGATTAAAAACATTTCCATCTACTACTGTCTTTACTCCTTCACCAAGCACTAGAATGAAGTAAGAATGGAAAAGTTGGAAGTAATTAATTTTTAATAAAGAACAATAAAGTAATAAGTTTAATATTTAAAATATTAGTATATTTAATAAAACTATTACGGCTTCAAAACCTTTTCAATGAATTTCTTCATGTCACGCATTTCCTGTAAAAGTATTATTATTATTATATGAAATAATTAGAACGTCAGACTTTCACAACTATTGATACTGCCTACCTCGTCGCAAGATGCGTGCATCATTCCTCTATATGTTTTGAATTCTGTTTGTGTCATAAATTGTTTGAGGACTGATGCAGTCAATTGACCCCATCTGTATGGTACTATTGGATCACAATCACCATGACATTGCAGTAGTGGAGTATTTTTATTTCCTATTGCTTCCTATAAAATATGTAATATTAGTATGTGATCATAAAATTATTAAGCATGATTTTAGTGTGAATATACGTACAGCAGGAAATTTTTGATGTAAAGGAAGCCAAGCTGATAAAGCTATAACACCAGCTAAGGGTTCTGGGAATGTAAGAGCACTATATATAGCAAGAGCACCACCCTGACTAAAACCTCCAAGAACAATACGTTTTGTGGGTATTCCTGCTGCAACTTCTTCTGCAATTAAAGAATGTACCATTTCTGCAGCTCTGCGAATACCTTCTTCATCTTCAGGACCACTTGGTTCCAAAGATCGTAAATCAAACCTATATTTATTAATTTTTTATTATTAATGTTGCATGAATTATTCTACACATTTATACAACTAATGAAAATTTATCACATACATATATTACTTACCAAGAGGGCATTCTAAATCCTGCATTTAATGTCACTGGTACTGTAGGCCTAAAATGATAAAGCTAAATAATATATTCTTGGATAAATTTACTTGGATAAAATTACTCAAAGGTCTTATTCAATTATGTAATGTTTTTTTGATATCAATCATACATACGCAGTAGGACAAATAACTTTAATGTGAGGAGATCTCACTGCTCCCATTGAACTAGCCCAGCCATGACTATAAAACACATTAAATATATGAAAATTATAAAGTTATATTAATAGAATTTAATTATACAAATTGCTATTTACCCTGTATCACCCAATCCATGAAAAAATATAATCTAAAACAAAAATAAGATTATATTACACAAAAGCAATAAAGTTACTTGTATAAATGTATATCATTAATTTCTTCTATTCCAAATTTTACGCGTATTTATTATATAAAGATACTTGAAACTCTGAAGTACTAATTTTTTTTTTTAATTATTTTTAATACTGATAGATTTTAATCTTACGAAGATATATAAATTTTAAATATAAGAAAAAATGAAAGCTAGAGTAATAAGAACATTACTCACACATTCAGAATTTATATAATAAAATTATATTAAGAATAATTAACTTATGGTTAATTGAAAATCACTTTGCGTCAGGCATAACCAAAAAAGAGACATCTTGAAAAGATTTTTCGCTTACAGTTGCTGTATGTCTGGCCGTAGCTGCTATCACTACAGGACTCACTGTCGTCATTGTTCCTCGCTTTTTTGGACGGGCTGCGAGAAAACAGATAAAACGTATAACAATTCGGTAAAAATCGTAAATATAGAATGGCGGAAGATTCTTCTTGATACCGCTTGAAATTCCCCAAAGCAAAAAGAGAGGGGTAGATAAAAGTTATGCGCATGCTTTAAGAAATCACTTTGAAAATCTAAATTATCATGCAAACCTGTAAAATTGCCCATTATCAACGCATAACTGCAAAATATTTTCTTATCATCAATATAATATAACAAAATATCTAAAAATTCTGCAATTGATTTCTCTCGTAATCGTTTGAAATTATCAAACAATCACAAATTAATATTTATAACAATAGCTGTCAGAGAATATACATTTCCAAGAAGTGTTACAATTTTCAATTAAAATTTTTTTCTTTTTTTTTCTATGAACATTGGTCATAATGAAATGAAATCAATAAGCTTGGTGCAAATGTAACAGAAAGAAAAATCCTCGCAACTCTTGGATTGTCTTTTATTTAAAATTAAGATTTCTTTAGAAGAAGATTATCTTCTCTCGAAATACTAATTAATTTTTACTTTATAGAAAAAAAAAGAGAAAAAAATATATCGAAGGTATTGCAATTCAAGATAAACAATTCAGACCTTAGAAGCGGTCGAATCTCTGATTCTCGAATTTCAATTAAAACACATCAGAAGAAGGAAATGCAAAGAGACGCCACCTTGCAACGTATCGACCAATCAGAAACGAAGAGTCTCGGATTAGTTGAGCCTGCGACGTATACATTTTGGAATGCAAGTAGTGACCAGTGAAAAGATGGTGCTTTAATGGTGAGATATTCGTTCCGTGGTCGTTCCTAGCCTCCTAGCCGACAAACCGTGGTTGCCAGCCATATTGTTTTACCGCAGTGTTTGTTTTGGTGCAGCCTAGTCAGAACACGAAGAAATCCGAGGGGATCGACAAAAAGGAAAACGGGAGAACTAGAGTGCAATTAAAGAAACTATCCAGGCAGTGCGCGTATACGGTGATTTTGCTGTATTTTCCGGCATAATCGTACCTCGCGGGCTAAGCCCATAATCTGAGTGTCAGTTGTGAACGAGACGGTAGAAGAGAGAAATGGCCTGCGCCACACTAAAGAGATCTTTGGAGTTCGACCCGGTACATAATCATGGTCGTCCTAGTAAACGACGACGATGTGTACCAATGTGTATTTCCCCTGGCACATCGACCCAAGCTAATTCCAGGCCACAAAATCCTTCGCCTTTCGGCGAAGTAACCCATAAACTGACGCCTGGTAATTACTTATAAGTTACGGCCATTTTCCTTTTTTCTATTTCATTCTTTCTTACCGTGATATGACAGAGAAAGAATGAATGGTTAAATCGTAACAGCGATTTAAAACTTGAATTCGCGACGTTTAAATGGGGGAGGGAAGGTGCGGCGTTTAGGTAGGGGAAGATGGATAAATCATATGGTAATGTAGTAACAGACATAGAAGATCAACTCCCTTTTTTCCTTATTTATAAATTGTCTATTTGTTCAGACAATTGTCTGATTTTACGATATTATAAATCAGCTGTTGAAATAAAATATGTTTATGTTTCAATTCATTATGTCTCTAGTATTTTTTAAAATGTTCTGCCCAAGTAGTTAATTTGCAACAAATTATTAAATACTATTAATGAAGATTTTAAAAACTACATTTATTATTTCGAATTTAGAAATTATCGTAATTGTCTTTTTTTTTTAACTAAACATGTATATCTAAATCTTTGAACAAAATTTAATATTCTAAAAAAATACAATACTATGAATGAAAATAATCTTTGTATACAGAAAAGATGGCTGCCAACATAAGAGAAGAGATTCGGAGACTGCATCGACGCAAACAATTGCATTTTAGTCCTCAAAACAATACTGGTGATTCTTCAGACATGGAAGGCCCTGCCAGTCCTTCTAGTCCATCTGCTTGTGGTTCAAATTCATGTAGTTATAGCCCTAGTGGAAAAGAGAAACCTTTATTTACATTCAGACAGGTGATTTACAATTTATCAGTTTAATTTGTTTCATAAAAAAAAGTTCAACTAATTAATGATTTTATAGGTGGGATTGATTTGTGAACGAATGCTTAAAGAACAGGAGACACAAATTCGAGAAGAATATGATCAGATTTTAAATATGAAACTTTCTGAGCAATATGATGCTTTTGTTAAATTCACCTATGATCAGATACAAAAGAGATTTGAATCTGCAGCTGCGCCAAGCTGTAAATAATATTGATTAATTTGTTAATTTGTGAACAAATTTTCTGTATATCTTCAGATATATTTCATAATAATAATGATCTTTTTTAATATTTCAGATCTATCCTAAAACCAGATTTTTAATTATAAGGATACATTTCTGTGAAAAATATTAGGTAAGATATATATAATATGTTCATTTTAAATGTCAGAAATATAAAAAATGTTTCAGAGGAAAATTATGTGTTGTCAAAGTGGTGTCATATTATGATAATTGTTTGACCTAGATTAATATCAGAGTGTTCTGTAAAGGTCACATTTAAATTTTTAAATGGAACGCTATAGTTTTTATTGCTTATTTTTATAGCTAATATTGAGATGTATTCAAAATGCTGTCTTATATTTTCCATAAATTTTTATTGAGTTTTTAACCCTAAAAATTTTCCCGTGTTGGCATGAAGACATTTAAAACGAATATATATATAATATTCACATAAGATTAAATTATACGCTTAACACCAGTAGAAAAAATATTTCATTTATTAATGACTGTAATAAAATTTTCTATTTTTTCTTTTTCTATTTTCTATTTCTAGTTTTTCTTATTATTATAGATTTCTACTGTGTGAGAAAAATTTTGCTTGAAATTTAAATCGAGGAATGCAGCACCACCTCGTTCAAGAACATCTTTAAGAAATTCAAACTACGACTTACATTAAAAAATGTGGTAAAAACAAAAAAAAAATATAAAAAAAATTAGTGATGTAAGTTTAGTAGATTTGCAGCAAACAGCAATCATACTACAAAAATTTACAATGTATACTATTAAAACTAACAATATTTGTACTGGCCAATGTTAGAAATGCGCTGGTATCAGGGAACTGTACTGAGATTCTAGTTATGTACAAACATGTAGGAGTTATACACAGTGCATGATTATGCTTGGAGTCAAGAGCTTGACTTGCACAGGGTTCTGTAATATCACGTAATTGATTAAAAATAGATCAAACTGTTCATTTTTTGCCCATTTTAACAAAACATGAAATGACAAAGAATGGTACAGATAATTCCTTAATTTAATAATACATGTATTAGATATTGCTCAATCATATGCGAATACTCTTGTAACGCAAACATAAAATAATGTATATTGTGGTTTGGCAGAAAGTACTGTGCATATGAAGAGATATTACATAATTAAATTATCTCTCGGGGAAAGTTGTTTTCGTTGAATCTTAGTATTTTATTTTTGAAAATTGTAAGATAATTACATGCAATCTATTCAGGAAATCATATTTCAATGCATTGTTTTTTTTTTTTCCGTATATGATTCATTATCTGTATAAATTTTCAATGTAAGCAACATTTCCCGTATGGATGTGTTCGAACTTAAATAACGTACATAACTTATAGAAATATGTACATTATTCGATATTTCGTTCCTTCTTGAAGTCAAAAATTGATTTTTAAAATCTCAAGTTAGTGATTTGTCGCGTTTACTTAAATTTTGTTGAGTTTTTGTTACATGTTAATTTTTTTTAGCAAAAATATTCATTTATTTAATATACGAATATAAAAGTTTGTAAAGAATTCAAAATAAGGTATAGTATGTAGCATTGTACGAACATATTGTCAAAAGTGAATATTTGAAATAAAGATTTCATAAAATTTCGCAAATATTTCTGTTCCCTGGTAGCAACGACTTTCTTTAGCATAATAAAGCAGTAAATAATGAATATATAATACTTATACCTTAATTGTGCCTATTAGATGCGATACATATTATCTAATGTTATTGATTTTTAAATTTTTAGTTTATACTCTCTCAGTTTTATATTATATCTCGCGTTCCCTTGTTTTTTTTTTGTATTTAAATAAATGAGGAAGCAATATGAATGAGGCTTTCTTGGTTGCTGCATGCATTTTGCTTTGTTATAGCATGATATTTACTCACTGAAAAAACATTAGGTACCAAGAAATATTTATTCAAGAAAATTTCTGTGAGCTTGTTACAATTTATTTTCATTCTAATATTCATCTAATATTTATACATTAGAAGAGAGAAATTTTGTTTTCCTACCTATAAAATTACATTTTGAAAAAGGGCATTAAGAATTGCCTTATTCATTCCCAAAAGAAAGGTGTCTTTCAGTTACCACAACAATTTGGGAACACAATATTAGTGTTCATACACGATAATATACATGATATGTCAAATGTTTTCTTAGTGCAAAATGTGAAAAAAGAAAGGAATATAAGTGGTTCTAATTGTCAATAATAAGTAATGTTTTCCATTTAAAAAAATTTTGTGAAAATATATTGACGAGATTCTTTAAGAACTCAAGGGATTTAATTTCAATTAAAATACCTCCATATTATATTATGTAAACACTTATTATTGAAATAAATATAAATATAAGACTGATCACATGTATTTCTTTATTTTAACCTACTTAAATTAATTGAATGAAACATAATATTTTTTTTGTATAAATGTTTAAAAAATAATTCATATTTGTACAAGAATATCCACACTATTGTTTAACCATGTTTTCTAGTTGAAAGTGCATGAACTACTGAGTCAGTTCTATAATATGTATAACAAAATTCTTACATACATGTTCCAATCTCATTAACTAACTTGTGTAATAAACTAATGCTATTAGTAATATGGCTTCAAGTAAAGAAGCCCCTCCAAGACTATATGAAGTTCCCTGTTCTTGCTAAGAAACTGTCACTTCTGGGCGGGAAATAAACTTTTGCTAGTTTATTTAATTGGAGAAAGGGTGCCAAATGTTTCTTCTCTTGTTTTTGGCTTTTGTTGTAGCCATCAAAGTATTTAAGAAAACAACTCCAAATGGTAAGTTACAAAACATTAGCATCAACATGTAATAATGCCATAAACAATATTATTCCGTAATATTTTTCTATAAACAATATTTAAGAAATTAGTAGTTTTATTTGAATACAGTTTGTTTTTAAATTATAATTTCTTATTGATTACAGGAAAAGTCACAGTGTACCTTGGCAAAAGAGATTTCATTGATCACTTGGATAGCATAGATCCCATTGATGGCATTATTGTTGTTGAAAATGATTATCTTCAGGGCCGAAAAGTTTATGGACAGGTAAAAAATAAAAAAAATATAAAAGATTATATATACATTCCTTCATCTATATGTCTTTATATGAAAAGAACTTTATTGCTTTATTCTTTAGGTAACAACAGTTTTTCGCTATGGACGCGAGGAAGATGAAGTTATGGGTGTTAAATTTAGCAAAGAATTGGTTTTATGCCGGGAACAAATAGTTCCAATAAAAAAGGAAAAGCAAGATATGACACCAGTTCAAGAACGTCTTCTAAAACGTCTTGGAGCAAATGCATATCCATTTTTATTTCAATTTCCACAAAATTCTCCTAGTTCTGTTACATTGCAACCTGGTGATGATGATCAGGGAAAACCATTAGGAGTAGAATATACTGTTCGAATATATGTTGGTGAACATGAAGAAGACAAGGTAATGCCCACAATTAAATGTTTTGTATGTATATATGTATATATGTAAATATATGTATGTAATTTATAATTTATATATAGGGACATAAAAGATCATCTGTTGCATTAGCTATAAAAAAATTACAATATGCCCCACCTACAAGAGGACGTAAATTGCCTAGTTCTCTAGTTTCAAAAGGATTTACTTTCTCTCAAGGTAAACTGAATTTGGAAGTTACACTTGATAGGGAAATATATTATCATGGAGAAAAAGTAGCTGCAAATGTCATAGTTACTAACAATTCTCGAAAGGCAGTAAAAAATATTAAGGTACATATAGATATATGTATATTTATGTATGCATATATAATGGCATAGTATTGTATTTAGCATAATTTTAATATTTTAGCTCTTTGTGGTACAACATTGTGAGGTAACAATGGTTAATACTCAATTTTCTCGACACGTGGCTAGTTTGGAAACACGTGAAGGTTGCCCTATTACACCTGGAGCATCCTTTACGAAACAATTTTATCTTGTTCCATTAGCCAGTAGCAATAAAGATCGTCGTGGAATTGCTCTTGACGGTCATTTGAAGGTATGGTAAAACAATATGATTAAAAATAAATATAACTTTCATTATTATTCACTCTATATATTTTTATTGATATTTTAGGATGACGATGTAAATCTTGCATCTTCAACTATGGTCGCAGATGGTAAAACTCCTAGTGATGCAATGGGTATTGTTATTTCTTATTCTATTCGAGTAAAATTGAATTGTGGAACATTGGGAGGTGAATTAGTTACAGATGTTCCATTTAAACTAATGCATCCTGCTCCTGGTAAATAAATTTTATTAATGAATTAATATTTTAATATATTCAGTAATAAAAATGATATTAAATAACCTATTTTTTATTTAATCTTTTTATTTATTAATTGACTTCTTATCTTTATAGGAGCTGTAGAAAAAGAAAAAGCTACTTTGAAGAAAAATAAGAGTATTGAAAGGGCACGATATGAGAATTCTTGTTATTCAAATGATGATGATGACAATATCGTGTTTGAAGATTTTGCTCGTTTGCGCTTGAATGAACCAGAGTAAAAAAAAAGCATTTGGAAAAAGAAAAATACTTATTTTGAAAGAATCTTAGATTCACAATTCTTTGTAGTAATTTTAAATCAAAATGTAATAGAAATATATGCATATAGAATTTGTCGATTCTAGGATTCTTTTGATGTGAGTTATATTTAACAACTGAAAAAATAATTAAAAGTACGAAAGGTAAAAAAATTAGAATATCCGTATACGACTATTGGTATATGGAACTGAATATTAATATATGAAGAAAGATGTAATAAAAAAAAAGTACAAAAAAAGCGAAAAGCATCATAAAAAATGTATATCGTCTTATAATTTCTATCCGGTAGTGGTGGTCGGTTAGAAATTCACATAAAGACGAAAAAAAAGATTTTAAGTAAGCTTAATAAGTAATTTATATTTGGCTAAGATTAAAATTTTCCCGCCTTACCAGAAGTGACATGTATTCTATTAACTTTGATTTATGGTGATTATAACGTGTCTGTAAAATGTTCGTTTACTACAAACTGACATTGTTGAGCTATATCTGTATATTAGAAGGAAAATATAAAAATTTCAAAATGTTAATTTCTGAGTTTGTTTACTTTATATTTAATTAAAAACATTGATTGCTTTGAATGAAAATAAGAAAAATGAATATTTACTAAACCCAGAAAATTATTTATTTTATAACTATATAAAATATTACAAGAATTTAATAATCGCTCAGTCTTGTAAAGCATTGTTTATCAATGCTGACTGCATTTTGATTAATCATACATATGTGAATAATATTCTTGATATGTTTGAATATATGCTTCTTTTTCAATTGGTGTCATTTCTGCTATTAATGCATCATTTACATCTGCAATAGCAACCGTTTTTCCTGCAACAGTTACAGTTGGTACAAGATCTTCATCTTCAGAATCCATTGTTTCTACTTCTCCTAAAAATGTTTTAGAGAATATGCAAAATTTAATTTTAATGTTAAAATGATAATTTTACAAGTTATTTAAGACATTTTACAAAAATAATACCTGTATCAATAGTTTGCATTTCTGCAACTTCTTCATTGTCACTGCTATCACTAGATTCTTGAGGTAATACAGATTTTATAGCAGCTGTTGAATTTGTTCCTCCTTTTTTCTCATGAGCCAATAATACAGACATTATATCTTCCCCTTGTTTGTTATTGGTTGTGGTTGTATTAGTAGCAGTAGCTGCAGCTTTATCCAAAATATTTTCTTGTGCGTTAACTCCATCAGTCTAAGACAATATAAAAAATAAGGCAAAAAATATTACCGAAAAGTATAGCCGAAGTTTTAAAATAAAAAGTATTACATTTTTAACCAAAATTTACCTGTGAATCAGAGTTAATGATGGTACTTTCCATCATCCAAATCGGTCTTTCCTTTCTCCTGTTTGCTGCATTCTCATCAATAGAATCATCGCCAATTGTAACATCTACTCTTGTATCTTCTACCATGAAGCCAGATGATGACCTCGTAGCTTCACCAGACCATTGTTCACCAGGTGCTCTTAGACTACTTGGTTTTCTCGTATCGATACTAAAAAAGGAGAATATAAATAATATGCAAGAACGCTGGTGCATTAATAATAATTTTATTAAAAATATGTACCCTTTAATGGTATTTATATCAACTGGTTCAGGTTCTAATACTTCAGGAGCTAATTTGATACCTTCAACTTCCCTTAATAAAATATAAAGAGGTTCTAATTGTTCATTGAATTTAGCTAATAATAATCTTGAATCTTTTTTAGGAAGGGCAGACTGATCTTCTTCTACTACTTCACGGCAATATGTACATCTAAATTCACCAGTAGTCATATCAAATAATTGATCTGCCTATATCATAGTAATAAATATTATCAGTATTATTAACAGTAAGTTTATAAGATAATAAATGTTTTACAAATATTCCTCATATTTTGTCTTTTTTATTTGTTATATAACTAAAAATATTTGAGAAATATTGTATAATTTATAATTTACCTCAAGATCAGTAAAAGTTTTTAAACAATTTATACATTTAAAACTGGCTCTACTAGTTGCATCTCTTTCCTCAGTTTCCATTCTTTTTCTCATTAAATCTAATTTATATTTAACCACATTTACAAAAGTCTAAAATATAAAATATAGAATAATTAATTTGATTAAAAAAAAAACAAAGGCTTTGTCTTACCTTATAATTAATAAAATAATAGTTGACTTTTTGGGCTTTTCCATCTGATCCAGTTTCCATTTTTAATCTAACTTGTATAAACTTATCATTACGCAATGTAGATATTCTAGCTCTCAACATTTTACGTTCAAACTTTAAAAGTTCACAAATGTCATCTTCTTTCATACCTAATAAAATACAATAATAAAATCTTGCAATTACAATATTACTATACTTATATAGAATGTACTTACATGGATTTCTAACCAACATATCAACAATTAATGCATCTTCTATTGTATAAAATCCACGTACTACTAAACGTGCTAATTGCTTTAAACTACTGGGAACTTCTGTGACAAATCTTTCTTCATTACTCATCTTGTTTTTAGTTACATGTAATAAAATATGAGAATTACTGCAAAAATGTTGATAAATTGTTATGGTTTTTACATAAATTATACTTATATTTCTGTGCATTCTGGGTAAAATTACAATACATTTTATAAACACTTAGCACTTTATTAATTTCATAATTATATTGAAATGACGTTATTAATTATATATTTCATACAATTTACTATTTTAAGTTTAATTTAACGTAAAATACTAACCTTTAAAATAGTATAAATGATATATTTATTATTAAATATTTCAAATAAATATCAATATAAGCAAAATAAATTATGTACTACAATGTTAAATGTATATTCTTTCAAAATAAGTAAAAAACCAATGGGAGAAAATACATTATTCTATTTATTGTTTGATTAAATATGACAAAGCACCGTTCTAACGGACGCTTGTTTTCCAGTATAATAGTTTTTAGGTTATGTATTCATAATACAAAATTATCAAAAACTATCTGTCAAACAGGAATAAAGAAACAAGAAGATATATCTTTTTTATGTAATTTCATAAAAATTACTAATGGCTGCAATCGATAAAGTTAAAATTATCGTTGTTGGT